TTTACTAAAGCTTTCAGAAACTGTTTGTTTGAAGTCCCGATTTTTTTCAGAACGTAAGTTTAATCAAAAAACTTGGATAAGTAAAAATTTCATGAAAATTCGTTAAAATTCCTGGAACTTGGAAACCCTTGAGATTTGGCACGCAGTCTGAAACAAATGTTTTACCCATTTTCGATCCTCTAATCAATGGTATATGTTGTTATATAACTTTCTGAATCACCCTGTATATTTATTGCATATTTATTGAACTTACATAATTCCCTATTTACGGAGTAAAAATTTTTAGATCTTATACGTTTCGCACTCTTTGTCGGGTTGTGTGTTGTTACTACAGTTAGATTCCAAAGGATAAAGAAATCAACAAGCAGACCGAATCACTGCACTCTAGAAGGCTTATTGAGACGTATGCAACAATTAAATTGTAAACAGCTTAAGATTCAAATATAAGTACCCCTTTGAACTATTTGTGTTATTAAGATCGAATAGAATTCAAAATTAAACATAATAAAGGAACCTTCTAGTAAATAATATACTGTTTTTTCACGATGCTTATATTTTCCAGGCCGCTATCGGATGACATTTTTTAGAAAAAATCATTATTAGGGACCCGTTTTTTATTTTTGAAATTTTTTATGATTGAACTTTGATTTGAATGAACTCCTATATGCAGTACACATATGTATCTCACATTTTGTGCAATAAAAGTCTATTTATGCAATAAAAGTTTATATATACATACATACATATAAAATATTTTTGAAATTACTCAAAATTTATTTTGACTTTTAAATACGTATTAATTGCATGATATTTAAAATTTGTGATTCCAAAGTTTATTCAATATTTACTTCCTTCTAGAAATAAATCACATTTTAAAAGTGATTCATATTTCGATTTTACTCCCCATCTGCCCACACTTATTTTATATTTTGTATATTGTTTTTATATATTTTGATGCGCAAAACTATAAAAGAGCTGCACGTGTTTTCGTAAAATTTATCATAATTTCCATATATGTATTTTAGTTTAAACTTACATAATATATTAACTCATTATGTATTGGGTAATGGTAACTGTTACCATTTGAATCTGTTATTTAATAACTTTTATTTTACTCTTAATTATTATTGTTTTTTCAATTAAGAATAACTACGAAATTTGTACATACTACGAAATGTGTCATACGTACATACATACATATATGGTTTACTGTACAAAAAACATTTACACTTGTAATATGAATGAAATTTTGTTTTCATGCCAGTTATTTTGTGGCAAAGTGCACATTTACTGTAAATTATTATGAAACAATTCTTAAAACATCCTAAATATCTATAGGTATATGCTTATATAAAAATTATTTAAGAAAAACAAAATGAAAATAATTTTTTCTTTTAATAACTAATTTTCTTTTTTCTAAAAATAAAACAAAATGTGTATGTATGTATGTATTACAAATTAAAAGAAAAAAAATAATATTTATCAACAGATTTTTAATGTCTCTGAAGACTGAAGGACAACCAAATATTTATTTTATTTAAAATTCACATGTTGGACATGATTGTACGCACGTATAAGGCAGTAGAGTGACCAAATAGATTTCAATATTTTGAAAAGATTTTAAAATTTAATATACATATGTACATATATTTTCGTTTTTACTATAAATCGATCAATCTTTAATGAGGTTATATCAGGGATGGGGAACCTTTTCTCTATATAAGGCCAAATTTTAGTCAATGCAAAGTCAATCAGGCCGCAAAGTTTAAAAAAAGTCCAAAGGTTATAAATTTTTGCTTTGTGTAGGTTGATGAAAACAAAATTATGTCAGAATATAATAATTTTAAGTTTGAGCTTCTTTTAAATTTTTGATTTTAATAGGATTCAAATATCAATATGTGTTTGTTTTCAAACAAATATGTATGTAAATTTTGAATTCAAACGTTGTTAGAAATTTCATGGCTTTGAATTTTCCAATTTTTAGTTTTCAAATTTGAAAGTTTATGTGCACGGTTTATTTTTCTAAATGTTTGATTTGTTTTCGAAAATTTGGCAGCAAAATTTTAATTTTTAAGAAATATAAGAAATAAATTTTTTTAAGGACAAAGGCCACTAAAAAACAGTTAAAAGGCCGCATGCGGCCTTAAGGCCGCAGGTTCCCCATGCCTGGGTTATATGAAGTCCGTATATTTCGTAAATTTTATCGTTAGATTTTATTTTTATTAGCTAGTCTATGTATTATATTAAGCCACATAATATAGTACATACATACATTATTGTAAATACTTAACGTAATGTAATTTTAATAACATGCAAGGTCGGTTATCAACAAACCATGACGAAGCCCTGTTCAGTTCTAACTCAAAAAACTACAACCGTAACTTAAAATTTTTAAGAAATATCCTCAACTAATTAATTCTAGTTTTACAACTGCAGAAACTTTTGATTTTCTTAAAATCTTAGAAGATGATTTGTAATTCTTGCAGCTTCGCCTTTTTTGTCTAAGTTATTTAAGTTCTAAGTTCATTAAAAGTACCCGTATAAAAAAAAAAAACAGAAAATCAAAACTGTTTGATAGTTTGCAATTAGGAAATTCAATTTTTACTTTTATTTTAAAATTTTTATAGTGTGTACAATGAGCTTGGAATTCGATTCTTTTGATAACTGCAATAACAATGTAGTTCATATGAAATATTTTTATATGAAATACTCGTAATTCATAAAATTTTTCAATGTAAATTTTTTCAATGTGTAAATGTTTAATGTAAATACTTAACAGTTTTAAGTAGAATTTTAATGTTAACCGTCTATGTAGTTGATAGGCCTAATCAAATGAATATTTTTTATTAAACCGCATTGTATATTGTTTACGGATCATTTGCGTAAACTTTTGTATATGTAGAAATTATTGTATTTACAAATATTTCTAAATGTTCTATAAATATTTAATTATGAAAGATACATACATATATATTAATGATTAAAAGATTGTTTGAGGACAAAAATGTTACAGATTTTTGTATTGAGTCCAGCTAACATGTGGCAATTTTAAAGTTCCATTTTGAAAAAAATCTCTAAAACGCAATCAGTTATATTTTCCTGAAATTTTATAAAATTTTTGGTTTACATTCAAAATACAAATTGCTTCTGAAACTAAATATACGGTCACAACATAAAATACTTAAAATTGTGGGTATGAATGATTTTTCAGCATATGTATGTATATACTATATAATATAAATTAATTTCTACCCATATCTTGAACAATATGTTCTAAAAAACATTTATACATACTATGAAATTATTATAAAAATTTAATTTTTATAATAATAAATTTAATAATGGGTGTGTCATTGTTATAATTTCAAAAACGTGCCAATTGTTTTTTTTTTCTCATAATACCAGATAAAATAAGTTCAAAAATTTTATAGACAAAAATAAAAAAAAATTTCGATTGTTTTTGTTATTTTCGTGATAGTTCAAGAGGATTGAAGAGAAGTCATATTGTTTTCTGGGTTCTTTTATTTTTTGGTGAAAAATATAATATGCGCATATGTACACGTAGATTTGATGCAAATTATAAATTTCTTACTTCCTCTTATCAAAAAGTTTGATATTCACCTTTTTCCTGTTGAATGGTAATTTTCATTAGTTAATCCATTCAGATATTCAAAATTCTATTATTAGTTTCATACTAACCTTGTTTCTACTATTTCAAAGTTTTCATAATGTTTTGTTTCAAAATACAATGTATGTAAGGAAGATACTGTTAAATTATCAGAACTTTATTAAATTATTTTGTTATTGCTTGTCTATAAACGTTTTAATTTATCACCTTATCTTCATAATGATTTATTTTTCGGTTCATTCGCTTGACGACCTAATTTTAACACTTCATTTTCAAAAAACAACTGCAAAACTAAAAAAAACACTTGAGATTTCTGCGGTAATTTAGAAAAGTATAAGTGTTATACAAACGTAGCTGTCATTCAAATTCTGTTAGAAATTCATGAAGGAAATAATTAAATTTCAAAATAAATAAAAAACGAGAAAAAATAGAGTTGACCTTGTCTGTGATACAAGTACAAATTTTTTATCCTATGTGCGAATAAAGATGCCATAACTGACTATGGGACAGACTATGACTTTAGGTTGCCGTATTACCATATTAATTTATGCAAAATTTCAGTATAATGTACAAAATACTGTGTGCCAAACTACTATTGAAGTTGTATGGCAGCTACCAGAAAGAGTAAAGAAATTTGAACGAATTTTATCAAGCAAATCGGCCCTGTTAATATATTTGCTTGTGTGAAATTTCAATACCACAGCTTTTATAGTTTCTGAGATATAGCCAAATAAATTTTGAAGTTGTATGGCAGCTACCTGAACCGGTGCCCCGATCATATCCAATTTAAATAGGGTTCTGGCACTTACTACAATAAATTATTTGTGAAAATTAGTTTTTGAGTTATCGTTGAGACGGGCGGACAGACAAAGCTAAATCAACTCAGAATTTGATGCTGATCAAAAACATACACTTGATTCTATATTTAAGACCGTAATTTCTTAGCGTTACAAACGGTAAGGCAAATTTAGTATACCCTTCGAACATACGTTCGTACTGGTATAATTACTCAACTTTTATGTTCTTTATCGTGTACATTGTTTGTCTGTAATATATATGTATGTACTCGTTATTCGTGATGTGGTTCTTAGGGGTTTATTAACTTTTTAATTTGCGGTATAGTTTCTAAACTAAAGAGCTTATGTTAAATTTATATACAAATATTTAAAAGTTTTTAAATATTTAATTGAATATTACAGAGTTTTTTCTTTATTTAAAAGTTTTAACCATTTTAATAAAAGGTATTCATTGCTGATTCTTCTATTAATTACAAAATACACACATTAATATTTTTTCTTTTCAATTAAGTAATAATGTTTGACATACATATTTAATTCACTATTCTTTTTGTTTTGTTGCCGTTTCGTAAAAGATTGTTGCCAGAAGACATGACTTGAAATTGATTGTAACCTCAGCTACAATGGATTCTTCAAAATTCGCTACATTTTTTGGTAATGTACCAACATTTACGATACCAGGTCGAACATTCCCTGTTGATATGTTTTTTTCGAAGACTACATGTGAAGATTATGTTGATTCAGCTGTTAAACAAGCTTTACAAATACATTTACAGCCAACCGAAGGAGATATATTAATTTTTATGCCGGGACAAGAAGATATTGAAGTAACTTGTGAAGTTTTAGAAGAACGTTTAAGTGAAATCGAAAATGCACCACAATTATCAATTCTTCCAATATACTCGCAACTACCATCCGATTTGCAAGCAAAAATTTTTCAAAAATCCCAAGATGGTTTACGTAAATGTGTTGTTGCAACAAATATAGCTGAAACATCCTTAACTGTTGACGGCATAATATTTGTAATTGATTCGGGTTATTGTAAATTAAAAGTTTATAATCCACGTATTGGTATGGACGCTTTGCAAATTTATCCGATATCTCAGGCCAACGCAAATCAAAGATCAGGTCGAGCTGGAAGAACCGGACCAGGGCAAGCATTTCGTTTATATACCGAAAGGCAATATAAAGATGAATTGCTACCATTAACAGTTCCTGAAATACAAAGAACCAATTTGGCAAATACAGTGTTATTACTAAAGTCTTTGGGTGTAGTTGATCTTTTACAATTTCATTTTATGGATCCACCTCCACAAGATAATATTTTGAATTCGTTATATCAATTGTGGATTCTAGGTGCTTTAGATCACACCGGAGCATTAACTCCACTTGGAAGACAAATGGCTGAATTTCCGTTAGATCCACCTCAATGTCAAATGTTAATTGTTTCTTTTCAAATGGAATGTAGTTCCGAAGTTTTAATAATTGGTAAGTTTTTATGCAATTTTAAGTACATATAACGTACTACACAGTTTATCACTACACACTCAATAAGCCTGACACATTTACATTGCTCACATTTGTATTTTAGTTTCGATGTTGTCTGTGCCCTCCATTTTTTACCGTCCTAAAGGCCGTGAAGAAGAAGCTGATGGAGTTCGGGAAAAATTTCAGGTACCTGAATCAGACCATCTAACATATTTGAACGTTTATTTGCAGTGGAAGCAAAACAAGTAAGAGATATACTTTAAACCATAATGCTATTTAACTAATTATAGTTATTTTATAATTTTAGTTATTCATCAAATTGGTGCAATGAGCATTTTATTCATATAAAAGCAATGCGAAAAGTTCGAGAAGTGCGGCAACAGCTTAAGGATATTATGGAACAGCAGAAACTTGAAGTGAAATCTTGTGGTACAGATTGGGATATAGTTAGAAAGTGTATTTGTTCTGGTGAGAAATATTTAATTTTGTGATGAATTTTACATTTAAAGGAAAATTCTTTATTGCAGCCTACTTTTATCAGGCAGCTCGTTTGAAAGGTATTGGCGAATATGTAAACTTAAGAACAGGAATGCCATGCCATTTGCATCCCACATCGGCCCTCTATGGTTTGGGAACAACACCAGATTATGTTGTTTATCATGAATTAATTATGACTGCTAAAGAATATATGCAATGTGCAACCTCAGTCGATGGATATTGGTTAGCTGAGCTGGGTCCGATGTTTTTTTCCGTAAAAGAATCGGGCAGAAGTGGAAGAGAAAAGAAAAAACAAGCTGCGGAGCATTTAAAAGAAATGGAAATTCAAATGCAAAAGGCTCAAGAGCAAATGGTGGAACAAAAATTAGTTGCGGCACAACGTCAAGAAGCTTTAATTCCAAAACAAGAAATTGTTAGCGCTGGTTCTACTCCGAGAAGAACTCCAGCTAGGTTAGGACTATAAGTTATATTGGTGATGTAAATTTTTGTGTAAAAGCTGAAAGTATTTAGAGGAACAATAAATTTAGGAAAAATTCTGTAATTTTAAATTTATGGTCATAATTTCTTTGTGTATATTAATATTTCTTGCTATAAATTTTACTTTTTAAATATTTTCATCTATCCAATCTCTGTGAGTACTAACACGAGCGAATACACCTGGATATTCCTCTAAAGCACATTTAATGGCATGTGATATAACGCCAACCAGTGTTTTATTAACAACAAACGGGCCACCTGAATCACCTCCACAAGCATCATGAATGCCATCTCCACCAGCACAAAACATAAATTCTGTGATTCTATTTACTTTTTCATATTTTCTCTGGCAGACAGTTTGATCCAAAACTTTCAAGTTTACTTTCTGAAGTATAGTTGGAAAACCTCCCTTATCAAACTAAAATGATTTATGAAAAAGGAAAGTGCAATACATACTATAGCAAATTAATATTAAATTGTAATATATTTGATAATTTTTTAGGTTAATTTTAGCATTGAATCTTTTAATAATATTTTTATTTTTCCCATTTTAAATATAGATTATCAATATTGCTTTTTATATTTTACGAAATAACTCCTGAAAAAAATTAAATACTTACTGATAGTAAACCAAAACCGCTGGCAATTCCGAATTCACCAACAGGTAAGATTTCAGTTATTTCACTTAATTCAATTGGTTGAATTTTGTCATTAAATTTCAATTTATCCTTTAACTTTACTATGGCAATATCATGATTGTAAGTTTTAATATTAAACTCAGGATGAGGAATTATTTTTTTCACTTTCAAGATTTGTCCGTCACCAGATCTTCTATTAGTTCCTACACGTACGCTAAAACTTTCTGGATCTGTTCCATGTGAATGAAAACAATGGCTAGCTGTTAAAACAGTGTCCTATAAATTACAGCTTCTTTTATTATCATACAATTTAAATTATTTCTTAATATCTAACCTCATTAATTATTGATCCACCACAATGATTAATAGTGTAGTACAAAATTGATACTTGCCAGGGAATTTCCTCAATTGTTGAGTCTGTCCCACCAATGATGCGAGCAGAACCACCATGTGGAGATAAATAGGCTAAAACATAATTTGTAATAACTTTTTGCTAACATTTTATGAGATCTACGACATTCGCCATGTTTTAATAGACATTTCAAAGAAATGTGAACTTCATATATTCATAGTTACATAATACCACTTACCACTTAGAATTTGTTCTGTGAAGAAAAGTATAAAAGTAATATAAAGCAAAATCCTCGCCATGTTTATGAATAACGTTTGATTATAAAATTCTTTGTGAAAATTTTTGATCTTGAAAGTCTTTTTATTAGGAAATTTAGATATTTTTTATCAATCATTGCAAAGTGGTAGATATGTGTACGTATACATATGATAAATAAGTATTTTACTGATTTTATCGTGCAATTTATCAGAAACAAGTTTCGCCACTTTATCTAATTAAAATAAATAACGTAGTTATTAAACAGAAAATAATGAATTAAGCTGTAATAATTCTCGTTTTGCAGGGAAATTCAGTTACAATGTAAATTTCTACTTCAAATGAAATTTGGAAAAATTTCTCCGACAGGGACTCCCAAATTGAGATTTTCAGAACTTATTCTAAATCTTAAAGTTCCATTTTATACAAACTATGAAAAGTGTATATCTACATATGTACATATTTATTTTTTTAAAAATGACCAATACTGTTTTCATATTAAATTTTTAAATATGCTATTACTTTGGTATATAGAAAATCAAAAAAAAAGGAACCATTTATTTATTTTACCTTTTAACTTGATTTTGGTACCTAGTCAATGTAGATAAAATTTCTTATATTATTTAAGAATATGAAAAAACTAGCTATGGTTAGTTTCATCTTTTACACTGGTTATGACGTATATTCTAGGCTGTAGCATAGTAATTTTTTACTCCAAACATAGGGAGTTATACATAAGCACTTTCTTAAATTAAAAATTCAAACTGCAGATGGTGATGAAAATTTTTGAAAATCTGTCTTGAAAAAGCCATCTACAGGTTATGGTTTGGTAAACAAAAGCATCTAGAAATACATACCTGATATATACTTCTGTAATTGGATCCAAATTTTTTTTTATTAAATTTACATAGTTTTCTTGAAAAATTATTGAGAAAACTGTTTATATACATCTCATTCCTTATATACATAATAATGTAATTTTAACAATGTGTATATTCAATGAAATTTTTTTTCCTATAGATCGCCGAAACATATGCAATTAAAGCCACTCAAACTTTTTTTTGTATTTCGAAGTTCGAAGTGGAAGTATTTTAACATGTTGCTTAACTACGTTCAATGTGTAAATTCTATTACCCACTAGATGTCGTTATTATCAGCAAATGTAAAATATCGTTTGAAATACCAGAACACCTGAAATATTTTTATAAAGTTGAAAAAACTTTAAAAACAGAAAACAGTAACGTCACACTCACAAGGAAAAAAAAATTTTAATTTAAAAAAAATATAAACCAGAAGGAAAAGTTGAAAAAACTTTTAAAAACTTTATAAGTAAGGTAATAATCGTCAAATTTCAAAATATTTATCAAACATAAACAAGAATAGCTTTCTGACAGTTTCATATAATTTTAAAAGTTTTTAAAACACTAAATTTTACTTTACAAAATTTGAAAAAAGTTTAAACATTGATGACGTCGCCATTTTCTCTCATCTTCAGGAACGTCTTCATATATATTTTTGGTGACCAAATCTTCACTCTATAAAGGGAAATATATTTCTTTTCATCATTTCTAGGAAAACTGTGATTATATAAAAAAAAAATAAATTTAAATATTTGTTTGTATTATTCATTTTATTATACACAAACTCATTTTGATCAAAGAAAAAATCCTGGTAAATTTATGTCATCCGAATTTAAAACAAAACAAAAACAAATTTTTTCTTTGCAAAATTAAAAACTTAATAAAACTACAAATTATGAATTAATCAAAGCACTAAAGAATAAATATTTCTTTTGATTATTGAAATGAATGAAAGTTTTTATAAAATAATATTCTTTTTTTAATACTTATTATTAAATATTTTATGATTTTTTATTTAAACTAATTTTATAAATAAAATAATAAAATCTTCTTTGTTTTTGTTAATTTCACTTTGACAACGCTTAGAGTAAAGAAGGAAACTTACCTAAAGGTTTTTTGCTTCACTCTGTTTTTTTTTTTCAAAATACAATTTTTTAGGAAATTTAAGCGAGATAGAAACAAAGATACTCCTTCCCTTAGTACTTCTAATTCATTGGACATTACATGACTTGCTACAAACAGGTTATTTTTTTTTTTTTTTTTTTAAAATTGAGTTTTCTTTTTTTGCTAAGCGCGCTCTAATCAGACAAAAAAAATTTGCAATCTGGAGCTCTATTTAAAAAGAAACGATAAAGTCATTTATGTAATTCATTTAAATATCGAAATAGTGCAACATAAAAATAGCACAAACTTTTATGTAGCTCTGCTGAGGTAAAAAACGAACACGAATCTATTTTTATTTTACTAGAATTTTCAATATTAGAATTACTGTAATGTATAAAGCGAAAATGCCTGTTCTTTTAAACTTTTTTTGCAACGCAAATATTTAATTAGAAACTGTAAAGCCTGTAATTGCATTTTTAATACAAAAAATATATACAAATATAAAATTAAAATAAATCTTGGAGAAATCTTGAATAAAAAATTGTTTTTCAGATGCATCACTAACAATTTCCGTGTAATAAGTTGTACATTTATTTGTGTTGGAAAAATTATTCACCTTTTATAGTTAAGACTTCTTGTTGCTAATCTTTATTTTTTAGATACAATTCAAATTATTTCTGCTCATCTGTTTTTAACTGTTTTGAATAAATTGAATGACATTATTCCAATCAGCGTTTAGTTAAAAAGGGAAATAATCTTCTTTCCTATTTTCCTTGTGAAGTGAGTTAACTTTTAAGGTTTCGTACAATATTACAATTGAGTCTCATCAAATGTTAAATCAACTCAATGATAATTTTGTAAGAAATGGCCGTAAATCTTCTTCACGACTCTGCATAACATTTAATTGCTTATAAATTAAGGGAAATAATTTTTTATAGCTTTAATACTTTTAAGCTACGTATGTACATTATGTAGAAATATAAACAAATTAAAAAATAATAGTTAATATTAAAATTTATTTATCCAAATAAAAATTTCCTTTTGTTTTTATAAATTTTTTTAGGTTTCTCCTTTTATCACGAAATATTTTTTAAAATTAGTAATTTTTCAATGCTTAAGACTAAAAAGTGATTTTTGCGTTTGTTTAAAATTTTGTTGTTCAATTTTTAAATTCTAGTTTTCTTTTCAGATTATGTATTCATTTTTTTTTTCAACAAATTTAGAATTGTGTTTTAATTGTTATGTACATATTTTTGACATCTAATGTTTATATTTAACAAACTTCTCCAATAACAGTGAATCATTTTAAGGTTTTTAGATATTTTAAATTAAAATTTAAATAGTTACAGATAGAAGACTGCGCAATAAAACTATTACAACTATCATTGTAACTAGAAGTAAATACATAGTTTTTATGAATTCTTTTGCAGATTTTTCAATTACAAATCAACAAAAATTTCAATGACATGTTAAATGTTATAAAATACAATCAGAATTTATTATTTATTTTGGATTTACATACATAATTATTTTTCTCTTTATAATTATGAAATATGTAAATATGCTTTTGTTTCACAATAATGACACACTTTCATTTTATTATAAAATTCTAATCGACATCACTGATTTTCCTATTTTAGAGCAAAATTTTTCAAATTATAAGTTTATGTCTATTCTGCCATTATACATACATATTATGTATAATAAAAATAATATGTAGTTTAATTTAACAAATTCCATTAATTATGTATTGTACAAATAGCAATAAAATTATTTTTCCTATTTAGGCAAATTTATTATTTCAGAAATAGAAATAATTATTTAAGCAACAAGAAATACATAAGTTAATTAACATTTTTCGCATAATACTAAAAAAATCAAAATGATTATAATAATATGTGGCAAAAAGTCTACAAAATGCTTTTCTTGAATGGTTTTTATTTTTTTTTTTATTACAATTTTCGAATTTTACATAATTATTTTATTTGGTAGAAAAATGAAAATAATTTTACATAAAAATTAAACGTTAGCTTAAAATATTACATAATATTTTTGATAAATGCTAATTTTGTTTTTTAACATTTTCAGTTAATAGGCATTTTCAAAATAAAGGGAATGTCATTTAAAACAAATAAGATTTGTGCAAAAAGTTTTTACATATACTTATTAAATATCTATAAATAATGACGGGAGAATACAAGCATGCAATTATACAAACCACAAAAAACAGCTGGCTGTGTCAACTGAAGTTCATTTATTTTAATTAAAAATATTTCCCACTCATTCATATTATATTATATGTATTGCCTTTCATTCGTGGAACGTTATACATTATATTTCATTGATTAAAACATCTAATAATTGAAACATTAACATAATTTATACGTAACTTATAGAGACTGGATTGTTACATGTACTATATATTGGAATCTTGAAGTGACCTACAAACTTAAACAACATATTGGTCGCGAAATCCATATTGACATTTATATTGCATGAATTTGATATTATTGCACATAGTGGCTTGAAATGAAAAGAACAAAAATTAAATTATTGGTGCGATTATTTTGAAGTTAAATTATTTTTCTAACTTTAAAAGTTTCAGATTTTCTTGCAGAACTTTCTCAAAGACTTTGATCTTCAATTTCAATAATGACATAATAAAAGTGTCTTAAATTTTACATAGTAAATTTGTATTTAATTTCAAATTTGGAAATTTTTCCCAATAATTAAGTTAGAAATACCCAATTAATGGATATTTCAAATGATTTGAATTGAAAAAAAAATTCATTAGTTATTGCTATTATTATTTTTGTAAATGGTCAACTTCTAACATTATTTTAGCATTGCTTACAAAAACGCAAAACTGATCATTTCCATTTCAAGTCATATTATATAGGTATAATATATATGCAAGATAATTGCATGTATGTTTGAATAAAAATCTTTTTAAAAAAGGTTTAACAAATCAAGTTTTAACAATATTCATAAATCTATATATATATATATATGTACAGAAAAAATTCAACAACAAAATAATATCAGAAAGGACGATCAATTTCTTACAATTCTAAGTTATTCTAATTTGCTTAAATATT